TCTTCTTTAATTACACATTGCACCAGTAAGAGCAGAGTGTGAAGGTTCAATTATCAGGGTAAGAGCACAGTTTTGCTCAATGTTGCAATGCACACAACATTATGGGTAATATACCAGAGTTCAAAAGAGGACATATTGCTGGTGCACGTCTTGCTGGTGCATCTGTGACCAAGACAGCAAGTCTTTGTGATGTATCAAGAGTCACGGTATCCAGGGTAATGTCAGCATACCACCAAGAAGGACCAACCACATCCAACAGGATTAACTGTGGATGCAAGAGGAAGCTGTCTGAAAGGGATGTTATGGTCTAAAACCAGGTGTTTCATTGTCTAACCTCTGCAGATAAAACATTATAGCAGCCATTTCAGACCACAAATAATTGCCTAAACTTACATTCTTGTTGCATAAAAAAACATTAGGACACCCATGGAAGTTTGTGTTTTAAGTGTTTGGAAATATACAAATTTTGAATGATACAGAAATGAATCACTAAAACTCATTTAAATGTGATGTGGAAGCAGCTGGCATCATTTACAACACTAAACACGAATGGATCATCTGTGTACCACTCTCACTATAAGACACATTTTACTTTGTAAACAGTCAGAGAACTGATTTTTTTCTGTAGCTGTGCTGCAGAAACCCACTGTCGCATCAGATCTGCTGAGAAGCAAACTGCTCAGTTTGTTGGTTTATTGAAGACCTCAGGCATGTTTCTGGACGACAGAGTTTTAGAAAGACCTCCGACTGTTGGTGGTCGATACAAAAAAGGATATAGAAAAGCTTTAACTGCAGTAGTAGTGACTGTGGAGACAAGAGTGCAATTTACCAAGACCAAGAGACTTTACACATTGCAGATTAGTGAATGAAAACAGGTGGGAGGATAGCAAATATAACAGGTGTACCTGTTAGTCATCATGGGATCAGAAACAAACACGAGTTTCAGTTCAGCCACTAACTCCAAACCTCTTTTGAACACAGAGAAATGATGCTGGATATGTTTCAGAGCTCAGGTTACATTCAGGTACTTCTACAGACCAGTTAGGGTTTAGGAACTAACACAGTTTTTATTAGAGGGAACTTCTCTCAGAGAARCCCAAATTAGACAGAATGTTTAATCAATAATCTATTTGCTCTAACCACTCTGTCACCATCTACCGTTTGACCATTTAGTTCATTAATTAACCTGTCATACCACTGCTTCACCAGCAGATGGCAGCACTTGCACAGCAATAATAAAGAAAAACAAAAGCTAAACCTTGTTTTCAGTCATTCAGAAGTCAGGTGTTTATTATGAAGTAGTGGATTTGTTGTTTTTCTTTGCATGTAAACAAGAAATGATGGTCAAACACTGTGTGACGCCTTAAAGCACATTATCTGAACAAATAATGATCAAAGGGTTACCAGGACAGAGGGCAGGTGCTGCAGAATTATAAATAATCACATAAAGTCCTCAAAACACGAAATGTCCACATTGTTGATTTAAATCACACCGTAAAAAAACAGCTTCACAGCTTCTCAGAGCCCTCTTTTCATAAATTTTAACATTTTTATTCAGCAATCCTCTGGTTTTGTTGGGACTTTAAATCTTCTGAGTCAATCAAATAATGTTGGATGGACGGATGAACAGCCGATCAGAAATGAAAGTTTTCATATATATAAACTGTATAAGGTAGATATGACAAAAACTGTAAAAGTTCCCACATTATATTGGATGCAGATAAAATCAAACAAATGATACAAACTTTGTTCAAATTGGTTGAGAAATAAAGAAGTTATGCAGTTTAAAGAAGAGGCAAATTTTGTAATGACACAATCAGATTATACCACTTGTGGGCCTCAAAATTACATTTTAGAGTCAATGCCTTTTTAATGAAATTTGCTCAGAATGTTGAAAACGGTTTACACTAAAATATCTTTAACGTTTTAATGAATATTATATGTCTCATTACCTACATAAGGAGTATAAAAAAACAAGATGAATATTTAAGCTGCTGCCCGTTATGGTCATCATGGTAACCACATATCTTCTCACTCCTAATCAAACTTTAAACTGTGAATGTGAAAATTCTTAGTTGTCCTGACAAAGAGCCTGGATGTCATGTTGGAAATCTCAGAAGTTTAAAAAAAATCTTTCTTTTCCAGTTTTGAAAAAAAAACTGAACTTTTTTACTTTATAGAAGTTCATGAGAGTTTGGATGTGAAAACTAAATCTTTTCTATTTTTAGAACTTTATAAGGAGTGTGAAGTTTGTGGGAATAAGATGTTTGCTAAAGGTTAAAACAAAAAAACAAATACTTACAAATGAATGTAATTTTGTTTATTTTGTTTGAGTTTTTCCAAAGCTGCAGGAGGGKTTGAAACTCAAAAACTGAAACAGAAGAATAATGAGTGATACATTTCTTTTACATAATAACACCATTAACAAGGGGTGGGTGGTAACATTCATTTGAGTAAACTTTTGGKGGGAAAATGTACTTTTAGGAGTAGTTTTACTGCACCATATTTTTTAATTTTATTTGAGTAATATTCTGAAGTATCGCTACCCGTACTTGAGTACARCTTTTGGGTACTGGGCCTTCCCCAGCCTTTAATGAGTGAAATAATATAAAATATTTTTGGTTCTTGGTACTACATGAGAATGAAGTCCTCCTGGAACATGAACCATCTTCATCTGAAAATCTATCATCCAAAATGACCATAAAACCTGTTCTACATATTTTAATGATTTATTCAATTATCTTTGCTTAAAGTAGAGGTTCTCAAACTAGGGTCCGTGTGCTGTAACTTGGGGGTCCGCAAAATAAATGATCATAAATAATTATTATGTCATATCATTTAAAAAAGATGGATAGATACAAACGGGAACTGACAGGCAATAAAACAAAAATGTAAATTTAAATGTTAAATTATTTCAAATCAGCGTGAAGTTTCTGAGGGAGTCCTTCAACCCAAAAGGTTTGAGAGGACCTGATGATTCTTTGCTGAGTTTCTGTTTGGGTTTTGGCTCGGAGCTGTTGGTCCAGCAGTCTGACCACAGTCCTGTTTGCTCTCAGCCTCTTTGTTGAAACTGGATCATTGTGCTCTGATGCAGGATCTCTGCTCTGACTGAAGACAGGTCTGACGGGATGCGAACAGAATGGGTGGGGCGAGGGGTGATGGGGCTGCAGTGACGTCAGGAGCGGGTCCAGTCAGTAGAAGGACTTCCTCTCCTCTCCTCCTCCTCCTCCTCCTCCTCCCATCATCCCTGC